AGTGTAAAAAACCGAACTTCTCCTTTAAGGAATTGCACAGCGAGAATTGCAACTAGTTGTACAAAGTTTTTATGCTGGCCGTCCTTCCCAACACAGCTGAGATTTAAACCAAGGTACCAATACTTAACTTCACAAACAGATAAATAATTTATAGTAATGACTTCTGGAAACCAGAGTGAAACAGTTACAACACAGAGACACTTTGCTTTGTAGTGATTATGATTGGTGTATAATACCTGCTTTACCATAGGAAAGACTGGGGTAGCTTGAGTCTGAAAGCTGGTATGCTGAAAATGTCGACACCCCTGCAGAGGGAAATCCATTGGGCATGAGGTTGTTGAACGCAGCTAGTTGACTGGCTCCTGCTTGCTTGCGCCACCTGGCTCTGCGATTGCTAAACCATACCTTTTAAAAGAAAAGATAAATATGTGTACAGTATAGTAAACTCATTCTGAGGTTACTGGGACAACAGTTTATGCTTATCCGATACCAATTTAAGGTTTCTTTCTAATATAACTTAACTGTTATTGATCTACTACCTCTATGGGATATTTTTTGTTTTAGATATCCTGTTTTGGATATTTTAGATATGTTTTAAATATCTTGTTATATTTTAATAATCAATATAGAATATATAAAACTTTTAATTTTAAAACACATAGGGGTGTTATGGTTACTTTGCCAATCACCCTGACTGAGGGCTGCACTAGATGCAGCTCCTGCTCTAAACACATTCTACCTCTGAAACAGAGCTCAGGCGTCCATTGTGAAGCTATGCAGGAGCACAAGTGGAAATGGGTTCAGTGTTGTTTATTCCATCCCAGCAAAAGCAGCGAGACCTGGATCTGATAGAACGGTTTGATGAGAAAAAAGAACTTTAAGAAAGGGAGGAAATAATTATTATGGATATTATGGCTTATTATGGTGGAGAGACTTTTAGCTCAATTAATTTTATTTATATAGCACTAATTCACAGCACATGTTATCCCAAGGCTCTTTACAGAGACAATCAACCACATCATCCAGTCAGATTGGTTCAAAGTTTTATATCTAAGGAAATCCAGCTGATTGCACCGACTCATTGACTCGAAAGCAATTCCTTACACCAAGCATGCCTTTAGTGAGAGTGGAGAGGAAAACCGCATTTAACAGGAAGAAACGTCCAGCAGAACCAGGCTCAGTGTGAGCGGCCATCTGCTGAGGCCCACTGGGGTTCAAGGAGACAGAAGCAGAAGCTTGGGTTCAAGGA